TTTATAGTGATGTGTGGTATAAAGGGCAAAGTGAAAGGTTTTTTTATCTTTTTTTTTTATTTGGATTCCTGATAAGTGCCCATTAGCTCTTTCTTTTAACATGCATTAAATCTAACTAATGGATATCAAACCAGCTTAGAAAAATGGTAATTATAAAGCAATTGTATTAAAGACTTTGGGAGCACAACTGTGCTAAGGTATTGTTTGTATGCCTTAAAACCGTGAAAGCTCAGTCTTTACGGAGAAATGAAGTTGCATAGATGGGAGAGCAGAGATTGCAGGCAACGTGATGTGAATTAGCAGTTCTTGGCATGCTTTGGGACCATCTGAGCTAGAAAGAACTGAGCTGATTCTCAGATTCCAGAGCGATTTGGGGGAGACATTTGTTTACGACTGTGTTCTTATCTGCTTATACGTACGCAGGGCAGCTATCTTTCTTGTTTTGCTGCTTTTTTTACTTAGCATGTACAGATCGAATGAGATAGAGTGAACCTAACAAAATCTTTCTGCAGTCTTTTACAAGCAGATGCAATTAATGTTAAAATTGATAAACAAAACTGAATATATGGGTAAAAATTATCTCCCTTTGCGTCCATCCCCCCCAGATTCTGTAAGGTTTTATTTTGCCTATCCTGTAGAAAGCTTAATTAATCTAATGGGAATATTTTCCATAAGGGGTGCTTTTAAGCATCTCTCTCATGTGTCTTGTCCATTGTTAGACTGAAACAAAAATACCTCATTTGACAAACTAACATCTAGGAGATTGCAGTCTCTGGGAAATAAAAGAGAATGCTTTGTGAAGTTGCAGATTCTTGAGGTCTTGCCTTTTATTGATAGATCTCCTTCATCATGCCATACATTAATTGTAACTCAGGTGATATATGAACTTGGCACATTAGTTAATGAAAGCTAATGCGCAGTAATCTTGTCATCACTAGCTGTGCATGATAATTCAATCTGCTTGCCAGAAGAGCTGTTCAACATGCAACAAATTTGATTTAATATTGACATGATGTACTAGGTTAGGTATTTTATATAACATGCCATGTGCCTGATTTGATGAGAAATGTTTTTCTTTCAACAGGTTATCTACCTGAGTTAGTAGGCCAGGTGTGTAGTTTAACACGGTTATAGCAAACACCGTCTGGACTGGGTATTCGTTATGTGCTTCATTGTGCAGACTGGGGCAAATTCCCGAGTTCCGGCACTTCATGCATTCATTTAACGTTGTCAGCAGGCTTGGGAGCAGAAAAATAAAGCTAATGCTTCTCTCACACGCTGAAAGCATAAAGTCCCTCTTGCCCCGTTTATACACCTTGCTTGTAGCTCCATCACCACTGGCAGGGTCTGCCCCAAAAATGGGCAAGTACAGCGTGGGGGTCTTGAGTGTGACTTGGAGGAGTTTTCCCAGTGTTTCTGGTCTGTAGTAACTGCTGCGAATCTCTGCTTGGGCAGGGTACAGGGATCTAAAGATGGTGTGGTTAATACTTTGATTTCCATAAAACGCACACACGCATCCTGCAGGCCAGGTTGGGCAGTCGGTACTTTTTCACTTAATCCCTAACAATGCCAGCCTCAGTCCTCAAGCGATTAAGAACTGTGCAGTCTGCCACTGTATATTTGCCTAATTTGTGTAGTAATAGGGGCTGGATATGGGGATATATTTCCTTTATTGTAATATAAAGTATATGAAGATATAAGAAACGTGACATTATTTACTTTTATAGCAGGTAAATCATCACCAACCATCTTAGTGTAGTGGAAGGCTTTATATAGCACCCAGAAGATGTTAGACACTGTAGCAGTATATATCCACATCGCTCTAGTGAATATTCTTGTGCACAGATATATGTTTATGTCAGTCACTGCAGCACACGGGTATCTAGAGGATACGTCTCGCTTAAAGACAGACTAAATGTACAGCAAACTGAGTGGAACGTAGATGTTGAGCGTAGGTTACGCCAGCAGGTCCCCTGGGAGCGGTCCTTGGGAACGGTACCCTCAGCATGGGTAAAAGGAGATGCCATCCACGCTCTTATTCTTGGGTGAGCATTGCCAGGTGGGAAATGTGTGTGCATAGGAACGGGAACGGCCGTATCAGCCGCCATCCAGACTGCAGTAATTTGCAGCCGGTTTGCAGCAGACTGTGGTCAGACAAGCAGCCCCAGGGAGCAGCGGAGAGCCGGGGAAGGAAGCGGCTGCTGCAATTCCATCATGCGCTGCAGAGTGCTGCAGCCACACAGGGCCCTTTGCAGAGGACGCTTTATTAAGTTACAAGTTAGTAATTAATGCCAAGTTCCTCTCTTTATTTTCTCTGTGGTTGGGTTTCGTAATCAAAATTAAAGATATGAGATAGGGAGCAGGTTGCCTCTTGAAATACAGCTCCCTGGTGCTCAGTTCACGACTTTAGAGACATTTGTCCAGTCCCATCTCCCTTTATGGGGATGTAGGTCAAACGCTGTTAAAATAATCCTTTTTTCTAGAGCAGATGTACACAGTCCAATGCTACACTGCAGAAAAGAAGCAAAAAGGTCAGGGAAAGA